GACGACAAAAAGATGTTGCACAAGAAGGTTGACCTCATTGTAACTCTTGGCGGTGATGGAACTGTTCTATGGGTAAGCAAATACAATTCTTTGGTTCACTTTGTAAAGCACCTTTGCAGATTCTTGTATGGGTTTACCCTTTTGTATAATTTTCATATAGTGGCCACCGAGTTATAATTTGCTCTAGAATGGCTAAATCTACTTCTGTTGTTATTAGTACAACCACTTGCTAATAGTTCTCTGAAGTGATAATTGCCTTCCTGGTCAGGCATTGCAGAGCTTTAGCCTCCTGTCATGTTTTTTGAATATGAAAAGCCTTAAGGGATGAGGACTTAATAGTATGTTGAAGGTTCACATGCATATTTGGTGAATAATTAATATGTTGCACCATTGGCGAACAGCTGAAGTAGAAGGTCTACAGATCTCTCCAGTATTAGTTCTTACGGGAGTTGCCACTTCAAAATGGGAAATTCTAATACAGTTTCTGTGACGGCTAGGAGTTTCTTATTAGTGTGCTATTTTGTTTGACAAAAGTAGATATCTTGTGTGCTATTTCAAGTACTGCCATCATTTGGCTGGACAAATTAGATGTTCTGTCAAGAGAAACTAATTGCTTGCCATATTCTTATTTTGATCTGTAACTTTAGGCAAGACTTAATTTGGTTCAGTTTCTCTTGTACTGCTATTCAAACTGGCTATTGATTTAACTTCATGACAGGCGGCATCATTGTTCAAAGGACCAGTTCCTCCAGTTGTTGCGTTCGCCATGGGATCGCTGGGTTTCATGACACCGTTTCGTATCCTTTATGATCGATTATGAGTGTGCTGCTAAAATTTGATGGTTAGATGATGTCTATGGCATTTCTGTTTTAGCTTTTCCCTAGTAAGTATTATCTATCTCTGTGAGCTGGTTACACGTAGTATATGAAAAAAAAGGAAGTTTCATGTTCATATATAGCATACATTTTCCTTTCAACGATTAGTTGTCGATGATTGGCTGTTCTGACCTATATTTTCAGCAAGCCTAGATTCTAATTGGTCTAAAAAACCCATGCCTGCTAGCTGATAAATCAATCACACACGATGTTTTCTATTCTCCTGTTGGCATCAGTTGTCCTTAACCTGTTTTCAGCAAGCGAGCAATACCGTGATTGCCTGGACAACGTGCTGAAGGGGCCTTTCAGCATAACACTGAGAAACCGTCTCCAGTGCCATGTAATCCGCGACGCAGCCAAGGACGAGATCGTGACCGAGGAGCCGATCCTGGTGCTAAACGAAGTTACAATTGACCGCGGAATATCATCCTACCTCACCTACCTGGAGTGCTACTGCGACAGCTCATTCGTCACATGCGTGCAAGGGGACGGACTCATCATATCAACGACGTCAGGAAGCACGGCGTATTCCTTAGCGGCCGGAGGGTCCATGGTTCACCCGCAGGTACGCCCTACCCTGTTTCACACACGCCCTGAGTCGCAGCCTCGTGCTCGCATTATTGCAGTGAATTTTGTCATTATTAGTAGTTGAAGCGACGCTTTGCTCCAAGTTCGTTGTAGTCGGCACAGTAAAAAGATGATTGCAGGCTTAGCTCTGTTAGTACCAATTGTACTTTGCACTGCAACCTCTCCTTTTCGAAGTGGCCTGTGATTTGAGGGCTCTCTGACAAAGCAATAACATCAGTTAATCTCTTGTTTTCTACCCATTAAACACTTCACGCTGCCCTTGGATCCAAGCCAATGCCCATCCGAATAAGTTTTGCTGTTTTCCCCGTGCCATATCTCCTGTCCAGCGCTGCTAGTTTGGTTGCTAACCGTTGGTGTCGTCTATCTGCATCTGCAGGTCCCCGGCATCCTGTTCACGCCGATCTGCCCCCACTCCTTATCGTTCAGGCCGCTGATCCTGCCGGAGTACGTGACGCTGCGCATCCAAGTGCCCTACAACAGCCGGGGCCACGCGTGGGCGTCCTTCGACGGCAAGGACCGGAAGCAGCTGGCCCCCGGCGACGCGCTCATCTGCAGCATCTCCCCCTGGCCCGTGCCGACGGCGTGCCTCGTCGACTCCACCACCGACTTCCTCCGCAGCATCCACGAGGGCCTCCACTGGAATCTCCGGAAGACGCAGTCGCTCGACGGCCCGCGCGACTGATAAATGAATTTGTGTTGAGCTGGGCAAAAGGCAGGGTGCTCGTGGATTTGGTTCGTGTCCGTTTACTGTTTACCTGTAGAAGTTGGCCGGAGGTGGAGTAGTGTGGTGTGTATACAGTGAGTGGCCACGGGTTCCTTGGGCTTGATGCAATGTATGACAGCACAAGTGGCAAGCGATGTGCTCACGTGGATGTAGTATGTATGGGATAGTACATGTGGCCATATGGATGTGGGAACTGGCAGCAGCTCAAAATGTAGAGAATATATGTATACGCGGCATGTATAGTCGCACCGCACCCCCCCATGATGTGAATGAAATAATACATTCGTTGGTAAAATCATGCTCTGAATTCCACCGCTACCACCAGTGGACTAGACAGGCAGACGGACAGACAGTAACAGCGCCTGCGCCCGTGCCCGTGCCCGTGCCTGTGCGTCGCCGCGCCGCCTCAGTTGCCGCGCCTTCCTCCCAGTTGGATCGCCCCGGGGCGGGCGGTAGCGAGAACGTGAGCTCCTTTGTTGCTTTCCATGCGTCCAACCTACCCCCCTCGCTCACGGGCGCCTCCACCATGCTCCAACCAAAACGCCCAGCTCGCCCACTGTACCACTCACTCACGGTCCATCCACCTCACTAGATCTGTCCATCGCCGTCGATCGCCACCTCCATATCACTCCACCATCGCCATCCCAGCGCCACTCCAACGGTCCAGCCCATCCCATCCCGGCAGCGTCAGCAATGGCGGCTCCGACCACCGTGCTCCTGCTAGTGCTCTGCGTCGTCGGACTCGTGCCGCGCCCGGCCTACTCCGACGTGCTGCCGGAGCCGGTGAACGAGGAGGTGCTGGGGCTGGTGGTGTTCCGGTCGGCCCTCACCGACCCCTCGGGCGCCCTGGCCGCGTGGGCCGAGTCGGACGCCACGCCCTGCGGCTGGCCGCACGTGGAGTGCGACCCGGCCACCGCCCGCGTGCTCCGCCTCGCGCTCGACGGCCTCGCCCTCTCCTCCGCCTCCGGCCTGCCCCGCGGCCTCGACCGCCTCCCGCGCCTCCAGTCGCTCTCCCTCGCCCGCAACAACCTCTCCGGCGCCCTCCGCCCCGGCCTCTCCCTCCTGCCCTCCCTCCGCCTCCTCGACCTCTCCCGCAACAACCTCCACGGCCCGCTCCCCGACGACCTCCCCCTCCTCGCCTCCCTCCGCTACCTCGACCTCTCATCCAACGCCCTCTCCGGCCCGCTCCCGCTCTCCTTCCCGCCCGCGCTCCGCTTCCTCGTGCTCTCCGGTAACCGCCTCTCCGGCGACGTGCCCGCGGGGCTCGCCGGGAGTCCGTTGCTGCTCCACCTGAACCTCTCCGGCAACGAGCTCTCCGGCGCCCCCGACTTCGCCAGCGCGCTCTGGCCGCTCTCGCGCCTACGCACGCTCGACCTGTCCAGGAACAGGCTCTCCGGCCCTGTCGCCGCCGGCGTCGGCGCGCTGCACAACCTCAAGACCCTCGACCTCAGCGACAACCGCTTCTCCGGCGCCGTCCCCGAGGACATAGGCCTCTGCCCGCACCTCGGCGCCGTCGACCTCAGCGACAACGCCTTCGACGGCGAGCTCCCGGAGTCCATGGCGCGCCTCCCCTCGCTCGTGCGCCTCTCCGCCTCCGCCAACCGGCTCTCCGGCGACGTGCCCGCGTGGCTCGGTGGCCTGGCCGCGCTGCAGCGGCTCGATTTATCGGACAACGCGCTCACCGGCGCCCTGCCGGACTCGCTCGGCGACCTCAAGGACCTCAGCTACCTCAGCCTCTCCAAGAACCGGCTCGCCGGCTCCGTCCCGGAGGCAATGTCCGGCTGCACCAGGCTCGCTGAGCTGCACCTCAGGGGCAACCAGCTCAGCGGCAGCATCCCCGACGCCCTGTTCGACGTCGGGCTGGAGACGCTGGACATGTCGTCCAACGCGCTCACGGGCGTGCTGCCGTCCGGGTCGACCAGGCTGGCCGAGACGCTGCAGTGGCTCGACCTCTCCGGCAACCAGCTCACCGGCGGCATCCCGGCAGAGATGGCGCTCTTCTTCAACCTCCGCTACCTCAACCTCTCCCGCAACGACCTCCGCACGCAGCTGCCGCCGGAGCTCGGCCTGCTCCGCAATCTGACGGTGCTCGATCTCCGCAGCAGCGGGCTGTACGGGCCCGTGCCCGGCGACCTCTGCGAGTCCGGCAGCCTCGCCGTGCTCCAGCTCGACGGCAACTCTCTCGCTGGCCCCATCCCCGACAACATCGGGAAATGCTCCTCTCTCTACCTACTGTAAGACTTCTTAATAAATTTGCTACACTTTGTAAATTAAATTTGACAGATTTTGGGTGATAAAATTTGATGGGTTTGGTGCCATGGCAGGAGCATGGGGCACAACAGTCTGACGGGACAGATACCGGCGGGCATGGGGGAGCTGAAGAAGCTGGAGATTCTGCGGCTGGAGGACAACAACCTCACCGGCGAGATACCGCAGCAGCTGGGCGGGCTGGAGAGCCTCCTGGCGGTGAACATCTCGCACAACCGGCTCGTCGGGCGGCTGCCGGCGTCGGGCGTGTTCCAGAGCCTGGACGCGAGCGCACTGGAGGGCAACCTCGGCGTGTGCAGCCCGCTGGTCTCCGAGCCGTGCGTGATGAACGTGCCCAAGCCGCTCGTGCTCGACCCCAACGAGTACACGCACGGCGGCAACAATAACAACGGCGACGTCCCGGTGAGCGGCGACGGCAGCGGCGGGGAGGCGGTGCCGAGGAAACGGCGGTTCCTGAGCGTGTCCGCCATGGTGGCCATCTGCGCGGCGCTGTCCATCGTCCTCGGAGTCGTGGTGATCGCCCTGCTCAACGTGTCGGCGCGGCGGCGGAGGGGTGTCGGAGGCGGCTCCGCCGATGGGCTGTTCCAGGGGAAGGAGCTGGAGCTGGAGAGCAGCGTGGTGTCCGGCAGCTCGACCAAGTCGAGCAAGCTGGCCGCCACGGGGAAGATGGTGACGTTCGGGCCGGGGAGCAGCCTCCGCACGGAGGACTTCGTGGGCGGCGCGGACGCGCTGCTGAGCAAGGCGACGGAGCTCGGGCGCGGCGGCGCGTTCGGGACGACGTACCGCGCGTCGGTGGGCGAGGGCCGCGTGGTCGCCGTGAAGAAGCTGTCGACAGCGAGCGTTGTGGAGTCCCGCGACGAGTTCGACCGGGAGGCGCGCGTGCTGGGCAAGGCGCGGCACCCGAACCTGATGCCGCTCAAGGGCTACTACTGGACACCGCAGCTGCAGCTCCTCGTCACCGACTACGCGCCGCACGGCAGCCTGGAGGCGCGGCTCCACGGCAAGGACGGCGGCGCGGCGTTCCCGGCGCTGACGTGGGCGGAGCGGTTCAGGGTGGTGGCCGGCACGGCGAGGGGCCTGGCGTACCTGCACCAGTCGTTCCGACCGCCGGTGATCCACTACAACCTGAAGCCGACCAACATCCTGCTGGACTCGCGGTGCAACCCGCTGATCGCCGACTTCGGGCTGGCGCGGCTGCTGCGGAAGCCGAAGCAGCAGCAGCAGCAGCCGGACGGCAACGGCGGCGTGGGCGCGATGGGCAGCTGCCGTTTCATGCAGAGCGCGGCCATGGGGTACGCGGCGCCGGAGCTGGCGTGCAGCAGCCTGCGCGTGAACGAGAAGTGCGACGTGTACGGGTTCGGCGTGCTGGTGCTGGAGCTGGTGACGGGGCGGCGGGCCGTGGAGTACGGCGAGGACGACGTGGCCGTGCTGACGGACCAGGTGAGGGTGGCGCTGGAGCAGGGGGCGGGCGTGGACGACGACGACGGCGCGGCGGCGGAGCGCTTGGTGGACCCGGCGCTGCGCGGCGAGTTTCCGGAGGAGGAGGCGCTGCCGGTGCTGAAGCTGGGCGTGGTGTGCACGTCGCAGATCCCGTCCAACCGGCCGTCCATGGCGGAGGTGGTCCAGATCCTGCAGGTCATCAGAGCCCCCTCGCTGCCCGGCTGCACGGCGCAACTTTTCTGACACGTCAAAGTACGACGACCAGCCAGAGGTAGGGGAGGGAGATCCATTGATTGGCATGCCGCTGGACGTACGTACGTACCATGGCCATGCATGCATGCATAGCATAGCATAGATCCGCGAGTACTACGTACGTGCCGACGTGCATTGATGCTCTCCATTGTGTGTGTTCGTGTCACGTGTTTGCTAGTGAAAATTAATCAGTTACTGTTGGTTTGGCTTTTTCTCTCCTTGTGCTTTTGGTTTGGCTTTTGGATGTCAAAATGTGAGTGATGAGAGGCATTATTTTACTTTTCTACTGTTTGAAAGCGATGTTGGTAGCTACTAGCTCTCGTGACTGCTGTTCCCGGTCGAGCTGTAACGGAAGGTTGCAGTGCACTGTGCGTCCGTGCCCACTACAGCGCAGGACAGAAACCACATATTTGACCTTAGGCCCAAATCAAATCACAAAATGACCTGCTCACGAAAAAATTTCACTCTGATGACCCTTTCGAATGGTGCCCGACAGCTAGGCGCCGCACCTTACTGTGCAGCGCCCTTCCCTTAGGCGTCGCATCTCCTGCCAGCGTGGCAGCCCGAGGCCAGGCGCGGCCCCACACGCACCTGTGCAGCGCCTAAGTCCTCGGCGCTACACAGTGACTTAAGCGCGGCCGCCCCAGCCCGACCAGGCAGTTCTTCATCTCTCCGCTCT